ACAAATATTAATTAAATCATTGGTGGGCATTACCATGTAAATATAGGGGTCGCTACGACCTCCAACTCCAGACCTCTTGACTTTATCTCGCTTTAGCAACCTGCACATAAATGAGATGGGTTTAGTGATAACAGCTCTATAAACAATCATACCATTAAATTGATGAATTTTACTAATGTAACGAAGATAGTATTTGTACAAAAAATTATAATTCTTTTAGGTAAAATTATATTTTTTGGGTTAGTTACGAAAAGAAAATTGAAATCAATAATAAATATTGAGATTGATCAAGAATAACTTTAATTTCTTATAAATTCTCCAGATTGAATTATAACATTAGTTCGGTTTGATACCTGGATCTTACCCCTGTTTCAATTAGTCCCGATTATAGTTACGAGTCATGATTAGTCCCACAAGCGCACAATCAGGTTTGTGATTTTAGGAATGTCTCAGGTGGTTTAAACATTCTGTTGAACTATACAGAACTATATCCAGCCCACAAAACTGCTGCACCCATTGGCCATTACCCAACTCATCAAATCCTGCATAGCACAGGCTATACACGTGCCTCAGCCATGTCAAAACTGGTTCCCTGACATAAAATGTGTTAAGGGTGTGTGTCTGTCTCTGTGTGTGCATGTCTCTCTGTCTGTGTGTGTGTGCGAGAGAGAGAGAGAGGTTCTCACATTCTCAACGCTTTGCTTGTGTCAGGGCTATCACCAAGCAACTGGCGAATCCTCACTTCCGAAGCACAGCCACCAGACAGCACCTTCAAGATAGCTTCGGCTCGGCTTCGCAACTGAGCCGAGACCAAACCCAAACCCTCTGGCTGCCTTTTCAAATCACGCGCCAAAGCCAAGCTATCCATCTTCTCAAATCTTGTACCTGAAACATTACAGCTTCGCGCGCTTGAGACCCCGCTGGCGCCACTGGACACGCACGAAGAAGCTTCAGTAATCTCAGATACATTTTCCGAGACAGTCGGTTCCGGCGTTCCGGAGGTCAATTTCTGGTGATCGGAGATCCAAAAGCTACTCTTCGACCGTCTCTTTCGCACCACCTTGCATTGCAAGTAGAATTGATTTCAACAGAAAATCAGGACAACTTTTGAAGTCAGAAATATCAACCTACAGATGAGTTATATTACTCGTAATATCAATGTGCATGAGATTTGAATTTAATCGGACGGAACTTTAACACTTGAAGAGGAAGTAGATTAATAACAGAGACAGAGCAAGTTAATAGTCAATTTCAAGCAATATGAAGCAGATCAAAAGTCTTTTTCAATCAAGAAATAGAAAAACACTACTCAATTAGAGCTTCAATCTATAATTTGCTGAGCTTGATCGCAACCAATTGCAATTCACGACTTACTCGTGTGGTTAGAAAAACAGAGTAAAACAGAACACTATCACTGATAAAAAAATTTCCTACACACATCACCGAAGCTTCAGAACTAAGTGAGTTACAACAATGATTAAGCAAAATTACCGCCGGAATAACGAAAATAATATGAAAAAATTCGAGTTTCTATGAGCTTCACCAACACAAACTCACAATGCGAAGCGAATAGAGCTTCAAAGCCAAATCAATAGAACTGAATTTTTCATTAGAATGTAAGAGGAGAAATATGGATGATCACCTTGAGCTTCATCTCATAACAACGAGCCACAACAGCGACCATTTGGAGCTCATGAGCTCGAACCTCCGCAGACGAACAATCATCACTAGTAGTCACACTCGAAGACGAACCACACGACTTCGAATTCGATTTCGATGTGCTCAACATCAAGCTCTCCGAACAGTTATTGCTCTTACTTTTACAACTACAGAAATTCACAACACAATTCAATTAGATTCAAATACAGAGATCATAGAAACTTAAGTACGAATTGAAATATAATCAACTTGAACATAGAGTGAAATATCAGTTTATTTGTTGTTTTATCACATTGGAGGTGTGGTGGAGAGAAGGAGAAGAGCTGAAGCAACTGTGCGTTCGAGTTGACTAGGAAATGCTTCCATTGCTTCTGAAAACAAACTGTTTTTGCTTTCAGTGTTTTCAAAAATGGCGGGCTGATTCGAAATATTTGAACTTTCCTTACGAAAGGTTGGCTTAATCTCTATTTCACGCAGTCTATAACGGTTTATACATGCTTCTATATGGTTCTATTGCATGAAGAGAATGCTAAAAAGACAGAGCTGTTAGCTGAAGATCCAATCACAGTTGGAATGTGGTAAAAGGCAATCTATGTGTCCATAGTGATTGGTCTGTTTTGTTTCTACAGTGACTAGTTGTGAACCTATTGAGATTTGAAACAGTGCTAACCAAACCCTGCCACGTCATTGGGCAAATCTCAATTGGGCCTAGGCTGGCTTGAAATTGGGCTCAATAAAAAACAGAGGGATTGGTGTCCGGTCAAAACGTACACAACTATATAAATGGATCTGATTGGGTAGGCAATCAATATTCAGTCAAACAACTGATATCACCCTTTAATAATAAAATTTTTTACCTAAGGATAAGGGTGGTGGGAATGGTGGCAGTGGTAGCATTGGATTTAAGAATTGACAAATTAACCGTTGCATTTAGTTTTTCTTTCGTATATATTTGGTCACATATTAAAAAAAATTGTGAATTTGGTAAATGAATTTGGTATCATAAACGATTCACAAAAATATATGAGACTTAATCTCACAATTATTTTTTCACTCTCTAGCTATTTCTCATATTTCTACGATGCCACACTAAGTTACCAATTTCATCTTCCTTTGAATTCGGTATCATAAACAATTCACAAAAATATATGCACACACACGTGTGTATTTAAGATTTAGTTTTTGATCAAATTTTTATTATTTAATGGATATGGATATTTATATAAATTGTAAAGACGAAATTTGGTTGGTAATATAATCATATTCAAAATAGAGTTTTTAAATCGAACTTAGATTTGAATCACTCAAAATTCGATGATTGACGTGCTTATTTATACTTTGTTTACAAAATGATTTGTCAAAATAACAATTTCTATGAAAATTATTCTAATTCTAGTACTTTATATATAATAAACTTCTTATAAATTTTCTTAATTAAGTTCTATTTTATTACGTGTACGTTATGTGTGAAAAATTAAAGCAGCAAAATGAAAAATTACTATGAAGAATTACTTTATAAATAATGTAAATGAAAAAACACTTATATTTGCAAGACACAACAAATTTTGATAATTATTCTTTAATCGTTCTCCTCAATTTGATGATTACCCCCAATAAAACTTTTTTTTTTCTTTTATTCAACTGTCAGGAGTGGTCAGGTCAATTTACGTGTACCTCAACTAATCTCTTTCTCAATTCAATTATCTACATAAGAATTAAAAAATTCATGAGGGATTAATCCCTTGTAGCCTAATTCAAAAGAGTTGCTAAGATTCATCGTTGCAATCCAAAAAAAACTTATGTGAAGGGTTCTAAGCCTACTTGCTTTTATGTGCAATTTCTAAAGTTTAAGAGAAGGAAAAAAAAAAACAAATAGCCAATTTCAATCATTTCTCAAATTTTAGAAGTTTGGGTTAAATTAATCATGCGCCCATAACTCAAATTTATCAAATTCCACACGACGGGATCTTAAACACTTTAGTAGTCTATTCCAGCAAACTAAACATTTTATGATCAAACAAGAGGTATTGAATCTGCAAATTCTCTAAAGCAGCTGCAGTTAGAGAAGCATGTCTCCTGCCTTCAGTCTTGGAGTTTCATCTGGCAACCATTGTAAGTGATAATCTGGAGGTTACTAAACTAAGCTCGACTGAATATATTTCTCCATGGGACATTAGTGCTTTTGTTGGTGATATTAGACACTTTTCTAAGGTTTTGAATTTACATTTTTTACACAAGCCACGAGCTATTAATCAAGCAGTTCATTAGATTACAATCAAGGCTTCATCAAACTCAATTTCATTGAGTTGGGTGAGCTACCCCTCCCGAACTTAAGGCTTTATTTTCTTCGAATTGTAATCAGAATCTTCTTACGTAAATTATATCTTTGCATAGTTTTCTCTTCAAAAAAAAGAAGAATTTGCAAAAGTAAGTTTGTTGTATTTGAATGATGCTTCACCCGTAAATCAATGGGCTTCTAAGAAATTAAAATTATCATAGCTCTTTTTACCTTGATGATAAGACAATTAAATTAATTTACATCCTCAAAACCAATATAGTTTTAACTTTTTTAGCACCCATGCCATTGCCAATCTAATCCTAATTAGGGGTGCAGTTTGGGTGGGTTGGCGTGAATTGAGGGATCAACCATAATTTAATTCTACGTATAAAATCTTCAATTTTAATTCTAATATTAATCCGACCTCAACTCAAGATACTCGATCTGAGTATTGCACGAGTCGATTTTGAGCAAGTACAGGTTAAAATTTGGTTGCCCAATTTAGGCCCAATTTTGTCTTTTTAACTTATCTGATATTAGTGGTGTAAATTTCTTTGAACATCTATAGTCTTTATAAATCATGTTTCACTCCCTCTTTAAATAATAATAATAATTATTATTATTATAAATATGTATTTTATTTTATTTTATTTTATTTTTATATTATTTATATAAATATAATACATGAATTTGAGTTTAGTTCGGGTTAAACTTGAACTCTTAACCTGAGTGTAGCCAAAATTCAATTTGTGTTGATAGTTTCTAATCCTAATCCTAACCTTAAATTTAACCTTAAAAATTTCAACATTAACACTATTTTTTTTATGAGTTGGGTTTATGTTGAGCCGTTCAAATTGCACCCGGGATCCCAATGCCAACCATTATTTTTCCTTTTTGGTGAGAAATAAATTATTAGTTAACCAGTCCAATCCATCCATGACAAATCACTAAATAAAAATAAATAAATAATAGAAAAAACAAACAAAGGAAAGCAGACAGACTCCCACCACCAGACTATTGGGTACTAGCAGTTACATTCAAGCATAAGAAAACGTTTCACTACACAATACATGTCCGCTGTCGGCAGCCACAACCAGCTGAGCTGAAACTCTCTCTCTCTCTCTCTCTCTCTCTCTGTAAAACAGAGTCAATGCTGGACTGAAAAAGAGTCAAAATCAAATAGTCTGTGCCAGTGTCTTCTGTGTGTGCGTGTCTGGTTTGTCATTGTTGTGATTCAAGTACAATGTTGGTCCAAGATAGTTCAACCCCAAAGTCCCCCAAAACCCAGAACAGAACCCTCCCAACCCTTCACTCCAATCGCTTCCGTGACCCCAAAAACCTCGATTTCTCCACATGGGTATCCGAAAACCTCTGCAAAATCCTCACAATCCTCTTCCTAATCGCCACCATCGCCGCCCTCTTCTTCCTCCGAAATTCCGGCGACACAGCCACACTCCTCTGCCTCCAATCCGAGCAATCCAAGCACCTCCAGACCCTGCAACTCCCCCAAATCAATTGGAATTCAATTCCAACAATGTCAGATAAATCCACCCCCTTCTCGAATTTCCGATCCGAGAACTGGATCATTGTCTCCGTATCGAATTACCCCTCCGATTCACTGCAGAATTTGGCGAAGATCAAAGGGTGGCAAGTTTTGGCAATTGGGAATTCCAAGACTCCCAAAGATTGGAGCCTTAAAGGTACTATCTATCTCTCTTTGGAATCGCAAGCTAATTTGGGTTTTAGAGTTGCTGATTACTTGCCTTATGATTCATATGTTAGAAAAACTATTGGCTATTTGTTTGCTATTCAACATGGTGCTAAGAAAATCTTTGATGCTGATGATCGTGGTGATGTGATTGATAATGATATTGGTAAGCATTTTGATGTTGAATTGGTTGGTGAAAGTGCTAGACAAGAGGTTATATTGCAATATAGTCATGAAAATCCTAATAGAACTGTTGTGAATCCGTATATTCATTTTGGGCAACGTTCTGTGTGGCCTAGGGGGTTGCCATTGGAAAATGTCGGTGAGATTGGACATGAGGAGTTTTATACTGAGGTGTTTGGTGGAAAACAATTTATTCAGCAGGGGATTTCGAATGGCTTACCGGATGTGGATTCAATTTTCTATTTTACAAGGAAATCTGGTTTGGAAACTTTCGACATTAGGTTTGATGAGCATGCCCAGAAAGTGGCATTGCCTCAAGGTCTAATGGTGCCAGTTAATTCTTTCAATACAATTTATCATTCATCTGCATTTTGGGGATTGATGCTTCCTGTTTCGGTTAGCACAATGGCTTCTGATGTGTTGAGGGGTTATTGGGCACAAAGGCTTTTGTGGGAAATTGGTGGGTATGTTGTTGTTTATCCTCCTGCGGTTCATAGGTATGATAGAATTGAAGGATACCCATTTTCCGAGGAGAAAGATCTTCACGTGAATGTAGGCCGTTTGATTAAGTTCTTGGTTGCATGGAGATCGGGTAAGCATGCATTGTTTGAAAAGATTTTGGAGTTGAGCTATGCAATGGCTGAGGAAGGAGTTTGGACTGAGAAAGATGTGAAGTTTACAGCTGCTTGGCTTCAGGACTTGCTGTCTGTTGGGTACCAGCAGCCAAGGCTAATGTCATTTGAGTTAGATCGACCACGGGCTAACATTGGACATGGGGATTGGAAGGAGTTTGTTCCTCAAAAGCTACCATCAGTTCATCTTGGAGTTGAAGAAATAGGGACGGTAAATTACGAAATCAGAAATTTGATTCGATGGAGGAAGAATTTTGGGAATGTTGTGCTTATATTGTTCTGTAGTGGACCTGTTGAGCGTACTGCTTTGGAATGGAGATTGCTCTATGGCAGGATATTTAAAACTGTGATTATTTTGTCAGAGCAGAAGGATGTTGATCTTGCAGTCGAGGAAGGCCAGCTGGACCATGTCTACAAGTTAGTCCCATTAATTCTTTTTTCATGTCCACTTCATTGGGATTTATTAACTAGTTTCATAGTTCTTTGTCCATTGGCTTAGCTAAGAACTTAAGGGAGTTAGGAGACAAGTGAGTTAAGAGATCCTTTATTTTGTATGAAATGTCTTCTAGGACATGAATGATAGTTTATTCTAGGTGACGAAGCGCGGACCTTTATAAAGAAGACTGTCATAGCATAGATTACTTTGATTTCAAATGTTTCCACATTTGGCATATTTTGAACTATTGCAATTCCTTTGCTTGTGTTGTTTGGGTAAAGTTTCTGCACATCTTTATTTGATTTCAGTTTTGGTTTTCATACACTCCTAAATGAAGTTGCCCTTTATATGTTTTCATCTTATTTTTTAGGGAGCGATCGTGGCATTAAGGGTTGAGGGTGGGATGTGGGATGTGTGATGACTCTGAAAGCCTGCGCCAAATCATGCTTCACCAAAATAGACCTTAAGCTCCAAACATCAAGTTACTTTACATTTGGCTTATTATTGTAAGAATTTTATATGTAGTCCTGGCCAAATGACACTTGGCTGGGATCCCACAACTTTGAATTTTAACCACATTAGGTTAAAGTTATTTATTATGCCCTAGACATCTTGTGAAGTTCTGTCTTAGAGAAATTGACTGTAATTTAGAATTGACTAAACTAGGGATCATGATCCTTGTAAAAGTCACCTTGTAACTCAACAATACTCATGTTATTTTGTTTTTTTTTTTTTTTTTGCTTTGATAGGATCAAAACTCATGTTATTCGACTCCTAAATTTTTTTTCTATCTTCTCTAAACTCCTGACACCCTGAATTTTAAGCAATGATGCCTGATCGCGGAAAGGATAATGATTGCATAATTGAGTTAGGCTGAGGGATACAAAGTTCTTTAGGTTGAAGAAATCAACTGGTTAAGCTTTGGATACTTTTTTTAACCCAATAGTGTTTGTCTAATAGGGTATGATTGATTTCTTTTGCTCTTGGTAATGTGATTTGATGTAAGTTTTGAATAAGGGTGGTATGTGTAGATTCAGTACTATGCTATAAAGTTATTGCATAATGACAACGAAAGGAAACATGCGTAACTCCTGGAGTCTATTCCCTTTATTATTAGGGAGTATATGGTCCATTATGAATCCATAGTGGGAGGTTTCTAAGACCACTTCCGGTGTATGGTTTTTTTTCATTTGTTGCCTGATATGATCTTTCTTTTCCATTTAACAAATGCATCTATTACTGTGAGGATGATATTTATAATTTGAATCAGGGTACTGTCAGTTTGAGCTGTTGGCTTGTTGCTTCATAAACTTTAGATAATAATTCTACCAGAAGCAAGCACTGGTTGCATAAGTAATCCTCTATGTTTCTGTTTATATTCTTATTTTTTTTATATTGCTTTGGAGTAGTAGGTGTCATGTGACATTCAGATGTCTTCATTGTGGTTCCCAGTAGTGTTCATGATAACTTTGGTTTCTCAAAAGAACCCTTTGCATTTCTCTCGTCTTTTTCCCCCTTATAATGTTTTCAGATGTTATTTGCAGGCATCTGCCAAAACTATTTGCTAGATACACAAGTGCAGAAGGATTCTTATTCCTCCAGGATGATACTATTCTAAATTATTGGAACTTGTTGCAAGCAGACAAGCTTAAGCTCTGGATCACAGACAAGGTGAAAAAAAAAACTGCAAAACGGGTCTTCTCTATTTCCTCTTTGTGCCTGTTGTTTGAAAAAGAAAATTTAACAGCTTGAAGATTGTTAGTTTTGGTAATGCATGGGGCCCGTTGCTGCTGCTAGAAAAAAGCCTTCAATTATAGTGGACAAAATTAATTTACAGGCATTTAAAACAATATATTAGTTTTAGAAATGCATGAAATAACACACAAACTTTTATAATGTTAATCATCTCTGGTACTGCAAACTTTTAGTTATTTTTGTTGTTTTAGTTTACCACAAGCCAGTAGGTTTGCTTGTGGTAGGCTTGCCTTCAACAACCAATATACTCTCTCTCTCTCTCTCTCTCTCTCTCTCTCTAACAAATTCATGCATGTAGGTATCCAAGTCTTGGACTACTGTAACGATTGATGGCAACTCAGATTGGTTTATAAAGCAAGCAGACATGGTGAAGAAAGTTGTTACTACAATGCCAGTTCACTTGCAAGTCAATTACAAGGAATCTGTAAAAAATGACCAGAGCCTTACGATATGTAATTCTGAGGTATTCTACATTCCTCGGCGATTTGTAGCCGACTTTAGCGATCTTGTAAATCTAGTGGGTGATCTAGATATCCATCACAAGGTTGCAATTCCAATGTTCTTTGTGGCAATGGACTTACCTCAGAATTTTGACTCAGTCTTCAATACAATGATATATAAGCAGAAACCACCTACTAATTCTTCAACATTCTATTCTGCTGAAGTACCTGCAGTTCATCCTTGGAATGTGTCGAGCGAGCAGGATTTCATAAAGCTGATTAGAATAATGGCAGCCGGTGATCCCCTGCTAATGGAGTTAGTGTGAAGGCAAAAACAACTATTTGACAGAAAAACATGTACCACACGTCACCATCAAATTCTGCATTTTTTGTACCATTCTTTTGGAAGGGGAAGGGGGTCCTTTGTAGATTTCTGTTGTATGATTGTTACTGGTGGGGAATTTTCTTCCACAAAAACCAAATGTGTAGTAGGAGAATAAAATTTGTGCCGTCTTTTTTGTTGCCATTTGCTTTTGGTTTTGTTAGAAGTACTCTTTGACAATCTAATTTGTACATGAAGTATTAGATTAATACAAATAAAAAGTTTACCACTTGTTTGCAGGTTTTCGTTTTTGAGTTGCCAAGTGGTTGAATCTCTATTATCCGAGATCTAAACAACTGAAGTTCCTACTGTGTACATTCTCCATGGTCCCAGAAATTGAAGAACCGCATATCAAGCATCCATTACTTGGGCTTCAGAACTGTAATTTCAAGAATCTCAAGCCAATAAGCCATTCAATCAACCTTTCGTCTTAAATTTCAGTTCTGGGTTGAGTTCCAATTTCCCAACAAACGGGAGCATCATCGACTGCTGAAAGATTAAAGCCATACTTTCCCCTCACCAAAAGAAGATGAAGATTTGGAGGGATCTCTACCTCAAGTCAGTCTGCTAGTTCTATATTACTGCTAATTTCATGAACAACATTAAAAATCACAAGAAGTTGCAAATAAGCCAGCGATAATGAAGATATACCTGATAATACCAGTGACAACTACTTATGCTAGTAATGGAAGTGCTAATTTGGAAAGTAATTATTGCATCTTAAATTACTGGGAATATTAGTGTCACACGTTCATGCTGAAGAAAAGTTTCTCTCAGAAGTTACAGCACAATGAAAAAAACCCCAAAAATGAATAAAATTACAATGGGGAATTTCTAAACAGATTCACATTCATCGAAGTTGCATTTATGCATCCTCATGAGATCAAAAGAGAAAGATAGCTCAAGTACATAGGCGATGTTATTTGTACTCGGGAGATATTTTATTGGTTCATAGTTTACCGATCAATACCCTCAATCTTGTCTTCAACTTCTGAATACAACTGCCTTAATCTCTCAATATTGTCTTCTGAAGTTTCCCAATACCCACGTCCATTGGCCTCCAAGAATGTCTGCAACAATTTCCTGAAAGAATTTGGATTCTTGCTCATGAGCCTGTTCAACATCTCCTCATCTTGAATGAAAGTTGTATTAGCCTCTTCATAGACCCAATTGTCAACTTGGCCGGAAGTTGCACTCCAGCCAACAGTATTAGTGAGGCGCTTCTCAATTTCTCGTACACCCTCGTACCCAGTGGACAACATTCCTTCATACCACTTGGGGTTCAATAACTTGGTCCTTGCATCAAGGCGCACAGTCTCAGCAAGTGTGCGTACCTAAACAGTACCAAATTTGGGATCGTTAGCCAAAAGAAGTATCGAATTGTTCTGAAAAGGTTCACCAAGTCCTGAGCAATCAGCTATATAACAAGTCAGTATGCTTACCTGTGCATTAGCTGTGGTTGTGTCTGCAACATATGCATTAGGCTTCTTCCCATCCTTTCTCAGATTCTGTACAAGGTTGGTCGGGTCTGAATCAAAGTAGTGACTCACATCCGTAAGTGAGATTTCTGATGAATCAAGGTTTTGGAATGTGGCTTCAGCTGTACTTAATGCCATTTCAAAAACTTTTCGCTTCTCAGTCATGCCTGCACCAGGAGCATCGCAGTCAAATGCAAAGGACTTCCGGCTCAGGTACATATCCTGAAGCTGCTTCTCATCATTCCACGAAGAATTCTCAACAGCAAGGTTTATATTGGAAGAGTAGGAGCCAGAGGCATTTGAGAAGATTCGGGTAGCAGCTTCTCTAACCTCAACGCCAAGCGCTTTGGCTTGTTCTAGTGCATGTTTTCTGACATAATTTTCATCTTCCGACTCATCCAATTCAGCTACCATTTTCACTGCCCGGTCAAGGAGATTCATCTGTGAACAAAATGAAAGATCAGAGGAAAACGATCTTCAAAAAGATATACTCAAAGAGTACAACAATCTGCTACACAACATAAATGTAACACACTATCTTAGCATTCAATGGAGCGAAACTTAAAAATACTTCGATGATAGCAAGATAAATCAATACCTGATTGATGAAAAGGTCTCTGAACACACCAGAGCAATTAACTACAACATCAATCCTTGGTCTCCCGAGCTCTTCAAGGCTAACAGATTCCACCCGGTTTACTCGTCCAAATGAATCTGCAACAGGCCTAACACCAATCATCCACAAGACCTGAGCCAATGACTCCCCATATGTCTTGATATTATCTGTTCCCCACAACACGAGTGCAACTGTTTCAGGGTACTTTCCTCCATTATCAGCCTTCTGCCTCTCAAGCAATCTATCGACCACAACCTTCGCACTCTGCAGTGCTGCAGTTGTTGGAATAGATTGTGGATCCAGCGCGTGAATGTTCTTCCCAGTTGGCAAAACTTTCGGGTTTCTGATTGGATCCCCACCTGGACCTGGCTCAACATACTTCCCTTCCAGAGCTTGTTTCAAACTTCCCAACTCGTTATCAGCCACAATTAACTTCAAGCACTCCCCTAAGAACTTGAACAAAGTTCTAAGTTTCTCCCTGTCAACCCTGTAAAATTTGGTGTCCGACAAGTACTGAACCCATGGTTCATTTATACCAAAACCAAGGATTGAGCTCAGCCTGTCAGCTACATCTACAACTTGACCCTTCTTGTTAGTTGTTTTCTCCACGAAGGTAGAAATAGCTCCACGTGATGCCTCGGTTATTTGACAAAGCAGTTCCACGTCTTTTAAGATGCCCTTGTCACTCCCTCTATAAACATCCTCTATCTCTCTTCCAACTGTATCAGCCAGAATTGCTGGGAGTGAGGAAATTCCATCTTCAGGACGGTCTAATGCAGCAATATTAACAAGGGTCGCGACTGCCTCCATGGCAGATGGAGGCTCACCAATGGTATGAAGTCCACAAGGCAAAAGGCGGGATTCAATCTCCATGATTTTGGAATAAACTTTCCCCACCACAAGATCGCGCTCTTTAACCGAGATTTCTTCACCTTCTTCAGGAAGATCAACATCCTTGTCAAGATTGCATTGTTTAGCTGTGCTGATAATAGAACTCACAATCTGTTGCCCTCGACCAGTGTCTTTAAGAGATTGGTATGATGAGATCAGCTCACTTAGCTGCTTGAGTCCCTTGTAGAGACCAGCATTTTCTGCTGGAGGAGTCAAATAGCTAATGGTATTGGCATAACTCCGTCGTTTGGCTATGGTAGCTTCAGATGGGTTGTTTGCAGCATAGTAATAGACATTGGGAATGTTTCCGATAAGACTATCAGGATAACAAACATCGCTCATTCCCACCTGTTTTCCAGGCATGAATTCAAGGGAACCATGAGTACCAAAATGAAGAACAGCATCAGCTTTGAAAATTTTTTCAACAAAGGAGTAATAAGCAGCAAATCCATGATGCGGGCTAGCTGATTTAGAGAAAAGAAGACGCATAGGGTCACCCTCATAGCCAAATGTGGGCTGAACCCCAATGAAGACGTTTCCATACTGTTTTCCATAGACCAAGAGATTCTCTCCATCGGCATTCAAATTACCAGGGGGTTTTCCCCAGTTCTCTTCCAGTGCAGCAGCATATGGTGTTAGCTTCTGATACTCTCTCACGCCCATTTTGTAGGCAATGTTAAGATTTGGACTGCTGAATTGAGCCTCTTTATCATGAAGTATATCTTCAATTAGGTCCTCAGAAGTCTCTGGTAGACCCTCAATATTGTAACCATCTTTTTGAAGGTCCTTGAGGACAGAGAAAATGGAGGCAAAAACGTTCAGGTATGCAGCTGTTCCAACATTTCCTTTGTCTGGTGGGAAACTGAAAACGGTGATTGCTAGCTTCTTCTCTTCCTGTATAATTTTTATGATCAGGCTCAATTATATAAACCTTTAGCACGAATTAAATGCAGCAATGAAATAACTTTGACAGTTTCTTTTGTATAAGATAAGATACTTCTTTTAAGGCACAATCAACCACAAGGCATACAAGACCCATGATATCATGTACAGTGAACATCCCCAAACATCCTACAGTTAGAAAAATTATAAGAAAGGGAAACTGGGTAAAAAAAATCTTAAGAACCTGTAGAATTTAGTAAGTATGGTGATAATTACGATTGTCATGTCGACAAACCCACTCAGCTGAGTTGTGTTGAATTATGCCAACATCAAAAATAAAAATAACATCCTGCCACAATTTTGCCTATGCATTTCAAAACTAACCTGGTTGATAAACAAACAGAAACTAAATCATATAAAATAATATTGTATTATCTTCTCCCAATTTTCAAGAAGGGCTAGCAAAATGCACAACAAATTTTATTGGTAAACCCTAAACAAATAATAAAAAGGTTGATCTGAAAGCTTTATAGCCTTACATGGGAAACTATGGCACTCTTCCAGCAGACTTAAAGTTAAAAAGATGTACATAAGCCATCAAGCCAAGAAGATAATGCAATACAAAGACTCTAGCCAGGGACGACTTACCTTCGATTTCCTCTTTAGCTCACCCCATCTGATTGCCCTGGTGCAGAGCTGCTCCACTCTCTTGTGAAGAGCATGTGATTTCCCTGCAATTACATTGCATTAATCCATTTAAAGATCAGACCATGAAGCACATAATTCCAATGACAAAGGCTCAACTTTTACTAACTCAAATAAAATACAAGAACAGAGAAGAATTCATAGAAAGAGAACACAGTATGCAACAAATAAGAGTGAGCATCAAAATAACAGAAAAATGCAATGGAACACACTTAGGTACTGTTTCATAACGCTTTTTTAAGTAAATTTTCTGGAGCAAAAAAGTAATTAAGTTATGAAAGCAAAAGCATATCCAATAACTGTATAACAAAAGTGATCTATGTGAATCTTGCTGCAAAAAAAATACACCTTTACAAGCATTAATTTGATTATACTTGGAGGAGAGAGCCAGCTCGGATAAGGAAAAAACTAAATAATAAACATACAAAACCAAATGTTACTTACACAAGTAGTTAGAAAACCAAAAAATAAAAATAAAATAAGAATACTTAAAAAAACATTACTAAGCGGTACCTCAATATTCAGAAACACTAATGAAGAAAGATTGATCACTTGCCTGTTCTAGGATCCCGGCCCGAGAAAACAATAGGCTCCATGCCTCCATCGAGCTCTGGAAGAGCAACCTGCAGGGCCACCTGAATTGGGTGCAGCCCCAATGTGCTATTCAACCACTCCTCTGTAGTCTGGAACACCAAAGGCAATGCAACAATGTAAGGCACATTAAGCTTACTCAGAGCCTCAACAGCCCTTGGATGATCCTGCCTCGCTGGTCCCCCAACTAGAGCAAATCCAGTCAGTGACACCACTGAATGCACAAATGGCTTCTTAGTAATTGGATCAATCAAGAATCTCTCAACGGGACCCGAAAAATCGAGTCCACCAGCAAAAATTGGAATCACCTTAGCCCCTCTTGCCTCCAATTCCATAATCACAGCCACATAATGGCTCTCATCACCAGTGACAATATGGCTCCTCTGTAGAATCAACCCAACTACAGGAGCATTCGGACTCTTGAGCTTCTCGTTAGCATCCCTCCTAGTTCCATACCAATTCAAATACTCCTTCACATCATCATACATACAAGGGGCCAAAGGATGCCAAATTCCACTATCCAAGAACAAAACCGGATCTGAATACTTGATTTTCATGCCTTTCAGAGCCGGAATGTAAGACCCAGAAATCATTTTCAAGAAATTCACCAAATTATCAGGTGATCCGCCAAGCCAAAACTGCAAACTAAGAATATAAAGCCTAGCATCTTGAGCCTTATCACTTGGCAAGTACTTTAAAACCTTAGGTAATGTCCGGACAAGCTTCAACATCTGATCAGCAAATCCAGCTGATTGCTTCTTTTTCTTGAATAGCTGAAAGAATGGACTCTTTGATTGACCAAGTTGTGACATACTAAATGAACCCAACTTGTTGAGTCTCATTACTTCAGGCATTGAAGGGAACACCAAGACTGCATCAAGCCTGTCCCTCTCTTTCTCCACTGCAGCCTTAACCTTTAGAGCAAGCTCTTCAACAAAAATCAATGACCCAATAAAGATATTTGCCTCTTCAACATCTTTACAGAAAGTTTGGTATGTAGTCTCATCTCTAAGCTCCTCAACCAAGTACCCAACAACTTCAAATGAAGCGAAGGTCCCATTTTTGTTCAGAGTTTGAACGGCAGCGGAAAGGGAAGACTGGTATTGAGCTTCTATGACTACATATACAATTTTAACGGTAGGAAGGCCTTGAATGTTCTCGGGGACAATTCGACGAACCTCGGGTGTGGTCTGGGTGAATAGGCCATTGCCAACTGCAGCACATTTCACTCTCATCTGTGATTTGGAGTTGGTTTGGTTGGTTTTCTTGGGAAGAAAAGAGTGTAGAAAGTAGTGCTTTTGAGAGAATGATGAGAGATGGTCTACTTTAGTGGTGGGTAATGTAAAAGGTGAAGAAACTAAAGAAGCCATTGTTCAAGCCTGTAATTCAAGAATCAACAACTCTCCCTCTGTTTTCTGGTTATACAGAGAGAAAGTGGAGAAAATGTACAGATAAAAATGTATATAAACGGGGAGAGAGAGAGAGGTTTCAGAAAAATGGGTCTGAAATTATGTAACTCTCTCTGGGTTCTGCTTGTGTTTCAGTGATGGTTCTTCTTCTTTTCTTTCGTTTGAAGAACTGAAAGGTTTTGAGCTTATATTTCTGTGGAGAGTAGTGACTGTTTGGAAAATGAAACAGTTGGTTTTTTTTCAGTTAGTGGTGTGAGGGAAGGACACGTGGCAACAAGGGAATACAACAAGGCAAGGTTTTTCTGAGGTTGAGTTTGGTTCTGAGGATTTTAGAGAGAGAAAGAGGGAGGGAAATGGGAGTGTACTTATCTATCCGTTGGGTTTCATTATGATGAAGTTCTGTGGCTTCCTATTGGTTGGTTTGGATTCCCCAAGAAGAGGCATGGACAACTGAAGATGCAATGTGGATGATGAGAGAGGAGAGAGAGTGGAAGATTTTTTATGTCACTGTAAGGAAGCCCTTTTTGTTTTGTAAAGATTCTGATTGTTGTGTCTCTCAGTGAAAAGAGGAATTGATTTTTTTTGTGACTTTCAATTGGTCCAGGTATCCTAGAATGCCAAGTGATTTTAATTGCAGTAGTTGGATGCTTCTTCCTTCCCCCCCTCCCCCTCTTCTCCTTTCCTCCCTCCTCCCTCCTCCCTCCTCCCTCCTCTATGGGCATGTTTAGTTTAAGTATTAAGAGATTGAATTGAATTAATCTACTTCAATCATGGTATAATATTAAGTTTAGATTAAGTGGTTAGATCTAATTTTTTATAATTCAGAAGTTTCAGGTAAATTTTTTTTTTATATCCCCTAATGACTAGCCACCATTTGTCCTTTTAGGGACATGTTCTGACTCAACTCAAGTCACGGGGGTCAATTACTAAGTTTTAATAAGTAATTGACGCAAGTTTGAACACTCTGTAGCCAAAAAAAAAAATTTGGATCGAGTTATAGCAACCATATATTAATTTCTCATTAAATTCAATTTTGTTCATTATTGTCATTTAACACATGATATTGATTATTATTGAATAACATATGGTAGGTGGTATTATTTTTAACAAATTTAGTGTTAAAAACACTATGATTTTATTACACTTGTAAACTTACATCTACACCTTCATATAAAAGTTACATATTATGCTAACTCTTGCCTTCAATATTTTTTTTTGTTATTTTTAATTTAATATCATACACTATTACGTAATCCAGTAGTAAATTTGGTTTTAAAATTATAGATTTATATCTTGATTCAAACTCGTTACACAAAAGATACGATCAAATAACATTCATGTTAATATCATTTGTATAGATCGGATGGAAACCAATTACCCCAATCTCATCCTTTATTTTTAGCCGAACCAAACATGCCCTATAGATTTAGATACCTCTTGAAGGGGGAGAATTCGTCTCATACCGCCATGAATAATTTTTAAAGAGTTTTTGTTTAATTTTTAAGGTCATTTATAATTTTTAAGTTATTTGAAATTGATGATTAAAAACTTATTATTTTAATCTTAAAAATTATAATATGATCCCAAAAAAAAAAGAATTATAATGTGATCACATTTTAATAGTGATCCTAATTTTATTTGATTTTATTGTAACTAAATTCCATAAACTTATATCTTAGTCCACAAAAATTATATACTTAGTTACCGAACCATATAAATCCCTTGAAGGGGCAGGGTCAATGATAATTTCCACATAACTCATATATGCAACAAAGTTACTACTACCAAGTCCGATGACAAGCACACAACTTTCACAGAAAATTGAGCACCGGAAAATTATAAAAATTAATAATAGGAAGGTTAGGCCATATTTTGAAGACACGTAGTGTCACCTATTCAATCAAATGATGTTGAGAATGTTTCTTGTTTTTTCTCGATAAATAATTCCATTATTTATTTGCAAGATAAGTAAGAATGCATAATTTTCAACATTTTACGAAGATATTTCTTGATGCCTTCTCGTTGGCGATTTTTAGCTGTCAAAAGCTTTCATGATAATCCTCAATTAGGCAAGAGCAATGCTATTAGAACTTAATTTCTTGATTTAATTCACTGTAATCTTTAAATTGACTGTGAACTCCATCAAACATTAAAACCTGATGTTAATCAAATGATTCAAATGATACCACATCATTAAATCAATAAATTATGTCAAATTTTTAGGTCAAAATAAAATTACCCATTAACCAAAGGGAGGAACCTTGATAATGTATAGAAGTAGAATAATTACAACCACAAACTTGATAGAAAATCAAGATTTTTTCTTACTTGGTAGGGACCATTCAATACTGATGGGTCAAGTCCAAAGACTCAACTCATATTACAAGCTCAATGATCCAACTCCAAGAGGTCTAGTTAACTAAGCCCAAAAAAGTTTACATCAAGTCAAGCTCATCAAATTTCAAGAGTTACATCAATAGAGGAGTACACATGATCGTCTAAGAGCTCATCCAAGAGTCTCCTCTACCACCTGAGAGCAAGGGTCGTCCAAGAGCCTCCTCTTCACCTTAGAGTAAGAGAGCATTCATGAGTCTCACTCGCGCAGCCTAGAGAGAATCAACTTCCCTCATCCTTGATTAAGTTTTTTGGAGAGCACCATAACTTCCTTATCAGCTAAGGAGAGGAAAGATCGCCAAGATATTTAATTATTATTAAACAACCCTAACCTGTTATGACTGTCAGACTAGTTATTCAATTACTACACTAAGCCATTGTAAATTGTACACCCACCAACACTTGAGGGGCATTAGACTCATTTGAACATAATTCTCTTCTCCCCTCTCAAAGCTTGTAATCCTGTGCTCTCCTTCCACACCAGATATAATAAAATTCCGACGACTTTTGCCATTCAAAGTGGACGAAGATTATATTAACCGAACCACTATAAATCTTGTCTTTTCTCCCCCTCTACTTTATTGTATTTTACATTACTTAATTGACAGGTGGTGTGCAAACCAATTTTGTTCATCATCAAATACAACCATAATTTGGTTGTTTAGTAGGCAATTAATTCTTTAATGCAAAGTCCTACGTAATTAAGAATGACAAAATATAATATCACTCGTTAACACGACACGAAATTAGAGTATTTGAATTTTCTTTAAATCACCCGTTTTGTAAACAAGTATACCTGACACAGTACGATTTGTAAATGAATTAAGTATAAATAAAATCAATCAAAATAAATATACGACACGACTTGTTTGTATATTACTTATACACAATTCATACACGACAAAAATCCGATATAACACGATTTGTTAAACACAAATTAATAAACGAATCAGGTTTAATAGAACATTTTTTAACACGAATCTGTTAAAACCAACCGACACAATTAACAGGCCTAGTTGTAAACCAAAAAAAAACACATCCAGATGGCCACGAGAAACGGCAAACATGCTCTCTCTCAGCCAGATCCCTCGATCTGAACTTCCACCAGACTTACCACCAACGTTACTCCTCCAGCAACTTTCAGTTCAGGTTTTACTTTCCATTCAATCCTTCTCCCCACATCTAGAAATTCTTCCAGATGTAGGATGCATAGAACAGAATGAAAAATAATCCCAAGTTCTCTCTACAACAGCAAGATTTTATGCTAGAAAAAAGTAAACATGTTCAAAATTTGTCTTTCATTTACAGCATTTGTGACATAGACAATTTAGAACTTCTCACAATTACCAATTAATCTGCATACAGAAGCTCCACGCTTCAAACTAACTGAAAATGCAATAACGAAAGGAAACATGGTAACAACCACCACTTACTTGGCAGAAAAATCGATATGCACTCAATTGTCCTCTAGATGCATAAGAAAAAATCTTTTCACAAGTGCTACCAAAATTGACTCAAAATTGAAGGAAAATAGACCAGCTAACAACCAAATGCTAGTGCCGATGGAGTCTCCCACAACTTAGTCCATTTCCATATCACATATGGCTTCATCCAAGATCTTCTTAAGTTCCTTCACTCTTTGTCTTGTCAATGCCATGCAATCCTGCACTCAGCATGCCTTCTCATTAGCAGCTGCACCAACCGGTGTCATTCATATATGCAATATGTCATTAATATTTTGTGGCTTAGTAAGCATCCCATATTCAGATACACCCTATTAGGGGTTGAAGATAAAACAAAAGGTTACAGGCAAAGCTTTGTTGTATTTAAGAGAATGGTTGTCAATTCATCAAATGACACTCAGGTTTTAAGTATCTGTCTATCCATTTACAACTTTGCATTTTAGTAGGTCTACCAACGGAAACAGGGTCACTGCCAAGGTTCTCTAAACTAGACAGATAAAAAGGAGAATCGTGAAAACCTAAATGCATCTTGCTTCACACAAAACTATTTCAATATCCCAACCAACTTCAACCATCCTTCTCTACACCAGAATTACAGAAGTTCAAATATTTCAGAATTTCATTTTCACAAAAAATTGTAAGTTATATCTAATTGTGGGCCATGTGGCTTTTTTTGTTTCATCATTAGGTGCACTGCTAGGGTTTGCAAGACCATAGTTGGTATATTTGACATGTCTTACTAGTTATGTCATTTGAGAACCTCAACACCGATCATCATATGACCTTTGAAGACTGACCTGGATAGCTGATGTATAGGCAAGAAATTGCCCACCCGGCTTGTAAAGAGACACAAGCTGACCAGATAAATTCAATACCACAGTTACAAGAGTTTCCATGATGGACTCTTCTTCTGCTGTAGGGTCTGCCAGAATGTAATTCTTGTGAAGTATGCAGGTTAAGGAGAATGGAATGCTGCTCAACTTGAGCTTCCTCTTCTCTTTGTTGACTGGCTCCTTTTTCAATTTTCCTCCCTCATTTTCCTCGGATACAACTACTACTCTTCCATCATCATTCAGAGCAACTATGGGAATTTGCACTGCAAAACATGAAAGTTACTTAAAAATGGGAGTAACATAGTACACAAAGTTTTGAACTTTAAACAAGTCCAGTGTAAGGTTGATTATATGTCTGCACAAGTCATGAACTTTAGGACCTTGGGTGACCTGAATGGAGGCAAGAGATATCAGCATGAATACGGATTAGTACATTCCAGCGATTTCAGACAATATGATTCACCAAGGAAAATTTAGACTGTAAACTTTCCAAGAAGAAGGGCAGAAAAAGTTCAAAGACATTTCTGAAGCCGTTTATTCATTAGCATTGACAATTTTAATGGGGTTGGTCCTCTATCATCTGTTAGTTGACATGATTCAACTTTTGCAAACTTCAAAAAATAAGTGCATATATTGAAAGCAAACATAGGCAAAAGTACATTTTACTTTTAAACATACTCCAAGTTCTATTAACGGAAGTTTGATCATTTATGACTGCAGTCAACCAAGCACAATCAGCAGAGCCTTGTCGAACTTACAATTGGAGAAGGCGGCAACAGCAGAAAGTAATGCGGCGTCAAAAAGAGCACCATCAGCATCTAAACAATATATGTCCTGCACGAGCAAGAGATAAAATTCTTTATCGTCCAATAGATGAACAAGTGAGCAGCGTTATTTGCAGTTTTCCCAAGCGTCATGCTCAGAGCACACTATGATCAGTAACCAAACAGTTGGAAGCCAAACATTTGTTGATGACACAATTCATTAAAAAAAACTCAGATCCAACATTTCATTTATTAAAGGCACACTTACTAAATTTAAATAAAGGCAAGGGCAAGGCAGAATCTGAGAACATTACCAGGTAGGCCATCCAAGAAGCTTTCCCTCTGACCAATGATAAGTCCTTCAAGTTGATCATGCCAGAACTACAACCAAATAATTAGTCAATCACACACATCAATATCCCACACCCAAAGGAAAGGAGATGAATATCAGGGCAAACAAGACTTTTGAATCATAAAAACATTCACCTACATGTCTTAATTAGAAATATGAAAGTTATGATCACTAAAGGAAAGCATGTGAACTAGAAGGAAATGCAACAGCAGAGAGGAAAAAAAGGGACAAAAAATACAAAAAAGGGCCAACTATGGCATGATTATGAGAAATTAATAGCTATGACAGTCTGAAGAAAAATCAATTGAATGATATGAAATGTAACATTACCTCCAATAACCAATCAACAATTTTCTTTCTATTTGAAAATTTTGATACCGCTTTTCTACAAAGAAGATTGCCATTATACTCGATGAAGAAAAAAATGAGGGGAACACAAACAGCATATAGAGCTTGACAGCTAGGTCTTTTTTTTATTTCATGGCTACCTTTCTCCCACTCTTTCATTTTTTTTTTTTTTTTTTGGGTCCTGGAAGATATTGCATGACTATGCGAGTTTCATCAAAAGTTGCCATTGCCACAACAGAGAATGATATCCATGAGTCTAAAAGCATATGCAGCTAAAGAAGACTAATGCCAATACCAGAACATTAGGTTGGGTTGGGGGGGAGGGCAATTCAGATCAAAATTTCGAAGAAAACAGTAATCCAATTTTAACTCAGTTAGGTTAGAAGAGAAGAAATATGTAATATAATGAAAGAGATCCATGCCTTAAGATGGTGTCAGATAACTGCTTCGACACAACTGGTGCTGCCTCGGCTGGCCTGCCAGGCCTAACAGTTGGAGAACAAATTGGAGGCATATGGAAATCGATAGCTGGAAACAAAAATTTAAATATTCACACTAGATGGGATAAATGAACAGGGAAAAAAAATATATTAGAAGACTGGCCAGGGATGATGCTAAACCTATGCAGCCCATATCTGGTGACTCTGCTGTAGGGGTCATGACTTCCATTTTAATGGCAGCCAGCATTGTCTGTGCAATGACACAAGATATGAAACTTCGAATTAGTTTTAATTGCAAAAGGTCACTTACTCATCACGCACAACAGGACTTGTGCATGAATAACTCATCTCAACTCCACACAACTTCATCCCACATGTTATTTGTGGGCGCACAAGAGAGAGAGAGAGAGAGAGAGAGAGAGAGCTAATGCAAAATAATCACTTACGGTGCAACCAATCTTTGCTAGTGCTGACCCATCAGCAGATGCAACGGCTCCTACGTTAAAGGGGTTCAATAAAAAAAGACTTCGAATATATTAATTTCTAAATAAAGGATGATAGCTAGAAGTTTTCAACAAATAAAACAATGCTTAACTAATCAACAGCAATGTACTGCAAGGATGAAAATTACGAGTTCTCAACAAACAAAACAAAGCTTAACTAACCAAGAGCCAGTGTAGTATCTCTAGCTTTTCCAAGCATCCTGGCATCAGGTCGTATTGACTCAAGTAGATGACGCTCATGGAAGCGCAGAGGGAAAAGGCGTCTAAAAGCATCCACTTCCATCTCTGATGACAAATCACCAGAATTTGCAGAACCCATCATCTTTGATCTGCTTCGGCACGAACGTCTCCAACCTTTCAAAGCAGAAATAGATTGACAAATCAAAACAAATTCATCACTTTACCACTGGATTTGAACAGCAATAACAAGTGTGATAATATATTTGTAAATTAAAAATATAATGGTAAGTAGAGAGTTGTTTATAAGAAAAACTAGCACCCAAAATACCAAACAAAAGCCAAAAAAAGGAGTAGCATAATTATGCCAGCACAAATTATGAAGATGAACGAATGTTATAGCCAAATCAAATTCACTTACAAAGAGAAAATGAGAAAAAAAATTACGACAACTAGGGCTGCAAGTCAATTCTAGTATCTTCCTTAAATACTACCGAATCCAACTAAAATACCAGACCCAAGCAAATCAACCCAGAGAAAGGTCAGGTTGAATTATATTTGGCTCTTGGACAGTTACATTGCAGTGAACCTATATCTGATACCATGATACTTTTTTCTATTGATTGTATTCCTGTAGGTCTTCAATTTCAAGGAAATAGCCTTGAATCTGAACTTGCACATAGTATCCTTATTTCACTGGATTAAGAAACTATCACAGACCAGTCCAAAATTTCCCACTTTACTTATGAGTCCTCCCATCATAGCTCATTATCAGAATTCACCTTAGCACCTATAAAATCCTATGTCGACAAAAAATCACAATTAATAGTCATTTTCAAGAATACTAGGCCTCTGTTAAACTTAAAAATGGGCTTAGTCTCTTCGTTGTTATCCTCCACCATGGTCAAAAATTGTCAGATAATCAACCACACCCCAGCTAATCTCAAATGGACGTTAACCACATTATTGTTAGTCCATCATGAATTGTTATAAACTGCTGTTGTATAACCCCCATTCAACTCGTTACCAAACACCACATGTCAATCCCAAACACAAAAAACTAATTTGGAAACTTCACATTGTTCTTTCAACACAATCAATCCAACCTTTATTTAGCTAAATCATATCAGGGTTTTATACGCATAACGTTGAGAATATCAAGGTGGGTGTGAAAGGATTTTTTCCATTTCTTCTTACATTGTTTGTCTCTAACATAATCCCCTACAGTATTTACCCAGAACGCAATAATCAAACAGGAAAAAATAATCAAACAGGAAAAAAAAAACTATGTTCGCCGGATAGTTCACAAGGGAAGAGCGAAGAAACCTTTTTTTCCGGTGGAGAAGCCAAGTGACGAATTGTAAGTAGGAGTAGAAGCTCAACAGAGGAAGCAACGCCGGAGATGGCCCTTGTTCGCGCGTGGGAAGTGCAGGAGTTCTGTTTTCACTTTTTCTTTTCTTTTGGTAATTATAATGTATACCCTTGAAGTAGGAGTAAAATTTCATTTTGGTCCGTAAAATTTTAATAAAAACCCTTAAAATATTAATTGAGTTTTAATTCAGCCATTATATCCAAATTTGTATAAGAAAAATACAACACAATCCAAATAAAACCCAAAAACTATAACACAAATACATATCATTCTTGGGATAAGTGTTGAAAGAGTGAGGCTCACTAAAAAAGTTGATGAGACCAACTCATCAAATAAATGATACATTTGAGTTGTAATTTTTTGAATTTTATTTGAGTTGTATAATACTCTTTTTATAATTAATAAGGAGAAATTAAGTCAAATAACCAACATGAACTAGTTTGGAAGGCTATCTTTGTCATGACAAAAGTATAGCATCATATGAGCTTTTATCTTTTGCCTTGATTTATCTAGAAATGGCCCTAATTTTTAGTTGTTACTTGATTGTTTAACTCTTCTCTTATAGTGGTTCATTCAAACTCAAAAAAAAATTTAATGGACAAAAAATTTTCTAGTTTAACCCAACGTAAGACTTTATAATTAAGCTCTTAATTCACCAGATTGTTTGTCTTATCTCATTTGATTGGGTGGTTGTGCCATGGTGGATTGAGTTGCTTAGTTGGGGGGATTTTGCTCGTGAGGAAAAGAGTTTTGCGGGAGAGGATTGACAAAAGGTTGAAGAATATGGAGTTTGTAATTTTTTTTTCTCTGTGTTTGTTTTTCCATAACTATTGTACAAGTATTTTTGTCCATTTTCATTCAAAGTTGACTTAGACCGAATATTTTCACACACTTACTCTCAAATTATGTGCTTGCATGCTACATTCTGTCAATTTAAAGAGAATTTCTAATGGTAGCAAATTAGTTCAAAGTATAAGAGAGTTATGTGCTAATTTCTGAACATATGGGGGTAAAGTGCAAAACAACCGAACCATTAGGGGATTAACTGGATTTTACCCTCTTTAAATTGCTCATTTGTCTGGTGAAGCCAAAACCCTAAACACCCACACCCCACCGACCAGTGTGAGAGAGAGAGAGAGAGAGAGAGAGAGAGAGAGAGAGAGAGAATGGCATGCAGCTCAGCAACTTGCCAGTCCGGTTGCTATAAGGACACCGGCGAAGTTGAAAAAGAAACAAAGAAAAATGAATCAGCCAATGGTATCGTGTATAGTGGCAACGGCGATAATCATCTTCACAACCTGTGCTTAAAATGCAAGGTTAACGAAGCAATCGTCGCCGCCGGTGGCGGCGGCGGAGGAGATGGTGGTCGATTTTGTGCGGAATGTTTCCGAAGTAATCTTTTCGGCAAGTTTAGGTTTGCTGTCACTTCCAACGCCATGATTTCTTCTTCCGACAACGTCCTCGTCGCTTTCTCCGGTGGTCCTTCTTCCAGGTTCTCTCTACAAATTTCCCTCTTGATAGGCTTTATAACATTTGCGGAAATATGCGAATTAGGAACTCAATTATTCGTTTCAATTTGCGATTTACGTCTGTTTTAGCAGATTTCTTATAATTTTCCTGAGTTTTCAACTTTGTACTTTATGTTTGAATTTTTTGCAATTTCGAATTTAATTTTAATGCTTTCAATGAGTAGAGAATGGAAATAATTTGCTATTTCTGAACAGCAATATTAATGTTCCCAGTTTACGTGTATGCTTATTTTTTAAGCAGAAAATAAATGTATGCTAAAAGATTAACATCTTGTCGAACTTCCTGTGAATATTTATGAATTATATTTGTTGATAGGTATCTAAGAACCCTTTTGCGAGCTTGATTGTGATACAGTTCTCTATGTTTATGGCGTTGAAGTTTTTTCTCTGAATCTTTTAGGGTGGCTCTTCAGTTTGTTCATGAGATGCAACATAAAGCACTGAAGAATTTTGATGCAAGTAGGGATAGGTCGTTACCAGTATTTGGTGTTGGAGTTGCTTTTATTGATGAAACTGCTATTTACCTAGTCCCTTCTCATGACTACGACAATTCAATTCAAGACATGAAATTGATTGTGTCAAATGTAGCTCCTCCCAAGAAAGAATTTCATGTTGCTCCAATTGAAAGCATCTATTCTTCAGACTCTAGTGATGGAAGGGACCAGTTGAAAGAGTTACTAAATGCTGTCAGTGATGTTACTGGAAAAGAAGATCTTTTGGTGCATCTGCGAATGTTGGCCTTGCAAAAGGTTTAGCCCTATATACTGTCATTTATGTGTTGACACAGGAGAAGGGAAGGGAGGCTAATTCATGCAAAATGACGCATTTTTTTTGTGTGCAGATTGCTCTCGAAAAAGGATACACAAAACTTGTGCTAGGTTCATGCACATCAAGGCTAGCCTGCCATGTCATTACAGCAACTGTCAAGGTTTGTATCTGTTGTATATTTTTTTCTTTCTTTTTTTCATTTTTGTTGTTTTCAATACATGGCTTTTGCAGAACTCTATTGTACCTTTTTTGAGGGGGTCCATATATCAAGTTGTGTACCCATAATAATTCCCTTGTATGTTGTCGATGAAGTCAAAATGAAAATTATGTGGGACAAATTTACTGTGGACAATAAAAGTTGAAGGTTGATATGCATTCGTGTGAGTGAACTAATCACTGAATGTGAGTCAGGTTTCTTCCTTTCATGCTGCTGGATGACAAATCTTCACTGTAGATTTTGTTGAGTTGATGTTTCCTAATGATGGAAGAATTTCCTGAAAATTGATAGACAACTCTAACTAGATATATACAAGGATCAAAATTTTATTTTGGTACATTATTTCCATCATCTTAGAAACAAAAATGTTGTGAATTGTTTTTAGAAACATTTCGGAACCAGAATAGAAACACTTGAAAATTTTAAAATTTGTTTCTAGAACATTTTGAAACATAGTCGAGATACTTCAAAACACCCTAAAACATATGAATTTCGCTATTTTATAATTGATTCATTTTGGTTTAATAGACGCATTTCAGCCATTTCAGTGAAAACAAAACAAAATTTCAATCCTCGGATGCAGATTTATTTCCTTCAAGATGGAAACTTTGGTACACATCTAAGCCACTATTCTTCCCAACAGATCTAGTGAAATGAAAGGAAAAGAATATGATATTTGTTTTTTAGTGGTTGTGGGGAACAGAGGATGAACTGTTTCTGGGTTCTGCCTAGAAACAACTCTTCCTTTTTTGAGCTCATATTGAAGGGACTGAAAGTAAGATTGGAAATGGGAAAAGAAGCATTTTCTAGTTCTAACACTATTAACGGAAGGACAAAATTTAAAAGTCTTTGTATACTTTGACAAACTTTCTAAGGTACAAGTTCTTTGTTTCCGTTAGAAGTATGCCATGATACTGCCAAGCTGTCAGTTTTTTTTTAACATAATAAAACCACTCATGTTTTTTCCTATGGCACTTATCACTTGTGCTTTGTTCTGATCTAATAAGTTGACTAATGAAGGTGTTGATGTGAGATATGAGATATCCCTACATAATGTATAATATTGTGGCCTATGGCCTATTGGTTTACTGCCAGGCAAAGATTTGAAAAGCTTTAACTGGTTTAGTATATTGTGAAACGGTGGGGAAAACATAGAGAGCGTTGGTGGGTGCATAAGGGATGGATTTGACCTGGCGTGGAAGGTGATATATTTCAGATATCACAAATAATTGTTCTCCATGAGTTTTGGAGCAATAAGTTAAAGGTTTTGGTGAATTAGGGTTTTGTAATCAAAATTCGAAGAAATAGGCATCATTTGAAATCATACACCAAAATACAGCTGACAACTAAAGGAGATTCTGTTAGTCTCAGCTGACATTTCTTAGTTTTCATACCTCAAGGATCAGATAACAAAATCTGTTTATTGGTAATATAACAAAACCAACCCTGCTATAAAGTATAAAACTAAGATTATTGAAAGGCGCTGGACCTCTTTCAACTAGAGTTAGGACTGCAAGATTAGAAATTAAAGAATTGTGATTAGTAAAACCAATATGATAGACATATGAGGAATTAGCAGTATTGACCAATGATATGACTTTATATATTTATGATTTATGGTAGAGCAGCACTATAATTCATGATTTACCAAAGTTCCTTCCGCTCCTCAAACATGAATGAGAAAGACAAAACTATCTCAGCAGCATAATAATCTAAAGTCTAAAGACTCTAAACCAACATAAGCATAACTGCTGCATTCTCTCTTGTGAAGACCATGTTCCGGTGTTGCATTGACCATTCATTTTGCCCTTTTTTACAGTTAGCATGCTGAATCAACTGTATACTTTCATCTAATGTTTCATTTATCTGAGGAAACTGCCACATTTTTCCTTGTGAAAGGTTCAATGGGTTTAACGAATATTAAGGACCGTGGTGGAAAAGCACCTTCCTTTGTTATAAAATTATATTCTTTTTTACCAGGGCCAAGGTTATTCTTTGGCAGGAGATATCCAGTATGTCGATGCAAGATGGCAGGTGCCAGTGGTGCTTCCCTTACGTGATTGTCTCACTCAAGAGGTCGACATGCTTTGCAGTCTTGACAGGTTTGCATATGTGTACGCTACCTATTTTTAGTTTTTTTTTTTTTTTGGGGGGTGGGGTGTGTGTCTGCTTCTTTATATATATATGTTTTTGTCTTTTTTATTTGTTAATTTGATAATAAAATATTTCAATGAATTTTAGTGTTTAAAATGCATTGATAAAATCATCATATTTTTTACACCATGATGGGACTGATCTTATTTTGGCAGGGCAGTTTAAGGACTGTGGAGGTGTTTAACGGTCCTCGTTCCAGCATCAATGGTTTGGTCTCATCGTTTGTTAAGCTATTGCAGGTAAAAAAAATAGATTAGGTTTATCATAGATTCGATTCAATGGTGATCTTATTATCAATTGCGGGTGTTTTAACAAGCAATGATGGGAAGTATTGCTTCTGAAACCAGTGTTTTGCAAATAACGTGGGAACATTGTGGAAGTGGTGTCAAATAACATTTAATTATCTGAAACGAAACATGGACTTGGTTCCTAAAGAGCAGGTACCATATGCTGCCACAATAAGTAAAGAACCTTTAGCTGTTGGAAGAGTATTATCCTGCTTTAGTTACACACCTGTGCAAGGGAATTAAATTCATTTTGCTCAGCAAAAAAACTTGTGACAGAGTCTGTTATAAATATTCTTGCAGTCGGTTGTGCACAGTTTCCTTGAAGTTGATTCTGATGCTTTAAGGTATCTACCACACCATAATACATCTTGGTGTATTTCAGGAGGAAAATCCTTCTCGAGAATGCACAATTGTAAGAACCGCTGGAAAGCTTACACCATTCCATTTCAATAGGATTCCAGAAATTGATGACTTTAATGTTCAGTTGGCATCCCGAAGGCGTCAAAAGAAATTCAATCTGAAGAATAATGAATCTCTTCCTCCTGAGTTGTTCTGTCCGATTTGCAATAGCCCACTAAACAAATCTGACTTCCTAAGTTCAAGCAGTTCTCAGAATGGGCAAATAAGTGCTGAAATATTTGGGGCTAAATGTTGTGGGAGTTGCCAGTTTCAGATACTTCCCAAGGAATCATCATCTATGGAGCATTTTGTTTCACAATTACCACCGGCAATTGTTACCCAGGCAAAAAAAGGTGGCTTTGGCAACCAGATATGGCTAAGGTGAGAGAGATTATGTATGCCTTTTAGCACTTCATAAATCATATGTGTCTGATCAGGGGATATTTTAAATTCCGAGCTTAAGACCGCTATAGTTGCCTTGGTGCTATGCCTGGACTGCAGCTACAAGACCAGTTTCTGACATCTGATGAATATCTATTTTTTGCTTCTTTTAAGGCTATTGGAAACTTTTTAAGCATGCTTAAAAGTATTTCAACAATCTTGATTGGGACCATCCATTCTCTAGAGTGTTGGGCCATTTAATTAGGATCCTCCTCCACTGAATGTGGGACTATCATCCAGCTTCCCTTATATTATATTATATATAGAAAGATTTTGAGAAAGGGGCTTCTTCAAATGTCCCATAAATTCAGTAGAGGCTTCAAAAAAAGCTTGTAGTTCAGGGGGAGTTGGAATGCTAGTACGTCATCATCCAAATTTAGAAAGCGTAGACTCTAGACCTAGAGGGAAGTTGAAGATATGGAAGTAGAAAGGCCACAAACCTTAATTTTGACTCGACTAATGTTCCAAAAATGCTGTTCAGGCTTACTGTTTTTCTTGGCCATGTACCATGTTGATATTCATTTTACCTTTTGTAGGGGATATCTACCTTCTATTCACTTGATTCTTTATGATGTTTTCAGGGAGCAAATCCAAGATTGCTTACTTTCAGACAGCGAAGATGGAACCCCTTGAGCCTGCCGCGTGCATACTCTTCAAAAGCTCATATGCAGTTTATAGACAATTCGGTCTAGGTGCTAGCCTGTTTAAAGCATTGGGTCACACAGCATGGTTGCTCAGGAACTCGGCAAGTGATAACAACCTGCAGCTACAAGCAGGATAATAGGAAAGAGAAATAGGTTCCAGATTTTGATCAATTTAGTAGCGCTCAATTAAGGTGGTTGCTCCCTCGTAGGATATGTAGAATATGAAAATGTGATAAATCTGCAGGCATCCGCCAATAGATTCGACCTCCATCTTGAAGGTAATGCTGATCTTCTTTGGAGCTTTTCGACAATAAAGCTTTGGCATCTGCAATGGTTTCGAATACGTAGTGTGGATATTTATTAATTGCTTGTGTAAAAATTAATTTTAGAACCTTTTAAGTGACTTGTTATTCGTGTTCTTGAATTAGATTGCTTTTCCATAAGCAACCCTGGTATCACTAGCCCTATTTATTCAATTGGTGAGTGTGTGTGTTTTGGGTGGGTCTTTTTTTTGGAGTTGGAATGAAGCTAGAGTGAAGTTCTTTTGGTGGGAATGAGAGCATCTCCAATAGATATAAAAAATATTTATATTTATCTTTTCATCGCATACATCTGTGATAAAATATAGGGAGAATTATACTTGGATCTTTTAAAGTTTGTTACTTAATCACTCAGATTTTCTGACATTTAAAATATTACACACAGATTTCTTGAAGTTTGTACGTGCATAACAATTTGTTAGAAATATATCAATTAAGAAATTATATTTAGACCTTTTGAAATTTATAAATATATAATATTTAAACTTTTTAAGTTTAAAATATTGTATTTAAACCAAAAATTCTCCAATAAAAGATAAAATATTAAATATTTTAAATTTTAATACTAAAATTTATTTTCTATTGTATAATTTATTGAAATAAAATCAAAAATAAAAATTTAATTTTTTCTTAAAAAATATAATTAGTATATAATTATATTGTCTATTAGAATTTAATTTAGTCGTTTAAACGATCAAATTAAAATATCAAATTATCTCAATTAAAGATAAAAAATATTATATTTATTACAGTTTGACCCATTGTTTAATTTTTTAGTTTTAATCTAATAAATAGTATAATTATATACTAACTATGATGTTTTTAAAAAAAATTAGATTTTTATTTTTGATTTTATTTCAATAAATGACATAATAGAACATAAATTTTAGATGTAAAATTCATGTTCTATTATGAATGACTTAAACCTCTTGTTTGATTTTTTAATTTTACTTCAATAGATAGTATAATTGTATGTTAATTATGATTTTTTAAGAAAAAATTAAAATTTTATTTTTAATTTTATTTCAATAAATGATACAATAGAACATAAATTTTGATTGTAAAATTTAACATATTTGATATTCTATCTTTGATTGAAGTATTTTTTGTATAAGTACAATATTTTAAACTTAAAGGGTCTAAGTATTATATACTTACAAACTTTTGGGGGATCTAAGTATAATTTATTAACTGATATATTTACAATAAGAGTCTAAGTGTTATGCGCGTACAAATTTTAGGGAGTTTGTGTGTAATATTTCAAATGTCAGAGAATTTGAGTGATTAAGTGACAAATTTCAGAGGATTTAGATGTAATTCTTCCTGAAATATATGTCAATGCTAAAAAAGACGAAAAAAAGAAAGAAGTCAAATTTATTCTTAAAAAGACAAGCATAAAATAATAAATTGATCAGAATAAAAAGTTTTATTGGAGTGGTGTATAAAATTTTAATTTTTTTTAAAGTTGCTCTTTTTTTAAAAAAAAAATATTCTCTATTTTAAAGAGAACTATTGGAGATGCTGAGAGCTAGAGATTCTTCTTAAGAGAATTACTGAATCAGATTGCACGTATGTAGGAAGTGGCTTGATACTCCGTCCTGCTGATCGGGGACAAGGTTAATTACGCGTGTTGGGTTGACACGTGTATAACTTGTGAGTTGAAAATTTCAAACATATTTAACTTGCAATCAAGTCTATTACTCTTATCCTTATAAACTCTAAGTCTACTTAATTTAAATGCAAATAAAACCTACAAAAAAAAAGTAATTTTATAAACATTCATGAATAAGGTTATCATAACGGATTACCTTATCACACACCTAAGTTAAAAAAAAAAAAAAAAAAAAAAAAAAATTGAGTCTGAATCAAATCATCAGACAATATCTCATTTGCTTACAGAGTATTCATCAAGTAAAACTGCTTGCAGTCGCAGTTTCCACACCCGATTTTTCTTTTTACAACAACAAAATATAGCATATGAAAATTATGCGTATCCGCAATCACACGAGGGAAAAGAATTCCTCCAATTGATTTTCACTCACCAGCACACCTAGTTTCTGAGTAAAAACTTCATCAATCAAGTCAACTCCAATACTTCTGGCCGCATCAGCAGGGGATACCTCAATGTATTCATTTAGGTTGTGCACAGTTCCATCTGCACAAGTAGATGCAGGAAAATAGAACAAACGATCAAAACAATGTTTACCAAGCATTCCTGTGAAATGTCTTCACCAATTACAAATAGAGAAAAGGAAATCATGAAATTAGTTGAAGCATCAAGGGTGTTAGTGCATGCATGTCACACACACACACACACACACACACGAGGGGAGAGAAAGAGGGGGGGGGGAGTGGGAGGGAGAGTATACACATAATAAGAGATACCAAATGAGAGAGTATGTAAGAGTAGCAGAATGACAAATATTTGCAGACATGTTTGGCCTTTTTCTAAAAAAGGAAACCCAAATTCAATCCAGCTACGAGGGGACTCTTATTTATCCTGTGCCTCTTCTTAACCAGCATAGTAGTTTGGTTGCTTCTAGAAATCATGTCAGCTGTTTGGTCCCCTCTACTAAACAATGAAGAATCATAATTCAAAAAGGGGGCATTGGTTGTTAAAGTTGAAACAGTCCACTGCATTTTAAGTTAAACTAAGAGTCTGCAGTAGAAGTAGAGAATGTGGTATCCACTGCACTTTTAGTTAAGCTATTCTTCAATAAAAGTACATAGCACAGAAAAGAACCACCACATAGTACAAATGATGCCAAAAATTGTCTTGGAAGACCCTCATTAAAACAATCTTTGTGGAAAAGGGACCTAAGCTCGGTTTAAATCCCATCTAGAACATCATTCCGATCATTCAATTTCCGCAGCATGTCCAGCAGCTTGCTGTAACTCAGTTCAACTGCCCCCCCCCCCCCCCCAAAAAAAATGTCAATCAAATTCTGGTCAATAAATAGGGATCTATGTAATAAACAAAGAATGCCATCCAAAAAGAAGACCACCATTTCTGCAACCTAGGAGAAAACTATCAGTGAAGTGTGTTTCACTTTAATAGGAATCCAATAAGTACTCGCGCTTACAGGCTTAAAATGCGCATGCACCCTTCTGGCTGCACAAGCTTCAAGAGTAGTGACATGACACTACAGCATAAAACAAAGTAATCGCCAATATGATTCCTTCGTCTGGCCATGCTATTACTCTCACAAACACATACAGAAATACTAATGTGAACCCATGGTAGTATACTAAAGGAGTTTCACAAATGACACCCGATGGAAGCCAATACCTCTAAGAGCACTTATATACGCTTAATCAAAACTTGTAGCCAGAAACACACCTTTTTTTCTGAACATGTTAGCCAGTGTGTGTGTGTGTGTGTGTGTGTATAGATATAACGTATATTTTAAGAAGAATTTGTTTTTCATTTTTGTATTTTTTTTCCTTTTTCCTTATAGGAATATACGATTTAATTGTGCATATAAACTCCTTACAATGTCCTGTGTTAGGTGGTATCTTCAAAACCAGTTGAATATTTAGCCATGTACCAGTGTCCTTGAATTCAATTACTAGGCAAATTCTATAATTGATAACCTTTTTAGTAATGCAAAATTATACTTGATACAAACTATTCAAACATTTCAAATGTGAAAGATTGAGAAACATAAGCTCTGTCGTGGCATTGCAGATAGGGATGCCATGGGACAAGTCAGGCAAGTCATTAAAATCTGACCTGGATGCCGGGCTCGGGTAGATTATGTGGCCAGTCAAAGCCCTTGGCCCACAGTTTTACTAATTTTTATTTTTATACTTAATTGTTTAAAAAATATAGATAAAATTTACATATGAATCAACAATACATATATTGTTTCAGTCAAAGCCCTTGGCCCACAGTTTTACTAATTTTTATTTTTATACTTAATTGTTTAAAAAATATAGATAAAATTAACATATGAATCAATCAACAATACATATATTGTTTCAGGATACCTAATCTTTTGGCCTTCCACTTTATCTGCCGGTAGTTAGTAGTTATTACTGATATATTTCAGCTAGGCAGCCCCCTATCCATCAAAAAAAGAACAATTGTTTAGTCTCAACAACTGGGCCGTCCTACGGGCCATGACTTTTAGCCTTGGCCCTAAATATTGTTAGGCCAATTTTTTTTGGCATAGGCCTTGCCAAAGGGCCAAAAAATTGGCCCAACCCCCTTTTTTTCCACACTGGGCAGACTGCGTAACCCATGCATATCCTTAAGGATAGAATATGGATTTTGTCTCTTTCTTCAAAGTTATACATTGAACACAATTTAAACCACCATTTTGGAACATAATTTTGACACATATATCTTTCATGAAATAACCATGCATCAATACTTTTCACAGAAATCCAAGTTGAATAATATATGCGTTGATATTCGCTGGCACAATTTGTTATATTATTGCTTCCTGCATTACCTTCGGCAACTATGGGTTCATATGCTGGAGGTTGAGAAATCCAATTTCCTACAGAATCTTTCATGTGTCTTCTATCAGATGCAAAGGAACGGATGAATATTGGAGCATGCACAATCCGGAAGAACCTGAGATTACAAAAGCAGATTCTTCCCATGATAATCATGTTCTCATTATGTTTAAGATATAGATACTTTCATTGAGAAACATAGATGTCAGCAAACAATAAAAAGCAACAATAGAAAAAGAAATCCAAAGCTTCCTTAACTTATGACGTGGATCAGGAAGAATAATTTGGGAAGAGAAGGAGGAGGAAGAGTCGTCAGAAAGAGATTTGGAGCAATCAAATTTCAATCAAACAATAATAATCAAGTCTTCTGATAAATCAACCTCTTAATAAAGGGGATCCCAAAAACCTAAAATTAAAAATTCCAAATATAACTCTACTACCAAAGTTAAAATATAATTTCTAAAATAATAAATAAAACCGAATATTACAAATAATAAATAAAAGGGATTATGAAAACCCTCATATTCAATTTCATGCTTATCCAATTCTTTTTTGTTCCCCTAAGGGATATTTATGAACTTCAGTGAAAAAAAAAAAAGCTTGGTAGAGCTTGATGCTATAGCATGTAAAACAAATGCTTAAAAAGGAATATATTTGTTGGGAAATTTCTTCCAAAAAAAAGCAGATGGCAACAGAAGATAGTATTAGTTACGTCAGTAATCCATGTTAGGTCCTTCACAGTTAACAATCTTATTTTTGCACAAAAGGGACACTGCTAGCTAACTACAGCAATTTTGCCAGTAGGATTTGAATATACAACACTAGCCACATTATCAATTACCCTCAGGCCTCAACCTACTGCATCAATATGCTGATCAAGAAAATGTAAGCTCTAGATGAAAAATAAGTAGAGAACTCGACAAAAACTTACCTCTTAAAGTCAGAAAATAGCTGAAAAGATGGTTGGATAGTCTCTGCAATGTATGAAGGTAAAGGAGATGGAAATGGAAGAGTTGAATCTAAATCCAACACTAGAGGAGTGGAGTTCTCGCCTTTTTTTCTCTGTACAGTAATTGTTTCCTCAACATTAGAGGAAAAAAAAAAAGAGAGTTCTGTGAAACAACTCATAGAAAGATTAAATACAAGCCATTACCCAAAGCGGTTCTGCTTTCTCTAAGCAATTGACCATCGAACTAAGCAATGCCCCAAAATAAAATTACTATCTTTTTTTTTTTAACTGAAAAAGTACTATCTCAATTCACCAAATAAAGCAAACCTGGTGACCAGACTGCTCTAAACCATACCATGGTAGAAGGATTCAGTTTTCACCTGAACACAGATGACATGATAATCCCAAAGAACAATGCCATCAGCTCTTTGGCTTGCCTTCTGATGCCACAGTGGAACCTGCATGACAGTCATCAAGTGGAGTATGTCTCAATTTCAGGCCAATAAAACATACTCAACACAAAGCCTCAACATTTTGAATATTTGAAGTGTTAGCTCCCACACAAAAAGATCTTTTTCTTTATAGGTGCAAAACAACAATTAATCTATCAAAAATTCGCTCAAAGTGGAGGAGCCTAGTGGAATAACATTGATGGAAAAACAGGTATAAGGCTGTCCATGTGTAAGGGTGTCAGAGGGGAGTTCCTCAAATCCTACCATGTAGTTGCTCAAATTCTCCTTAAGTTTAATGTAATGGATTGCTGACAAGATGGTGGCATGAAAGCAGATCATTGTTGAAGCAAGAAGTTCCAATAAAAACAAAAATGTTCTCTTTGACCTCAGGATTACGTTTAAACTATGAAGTACAAGAAGAAGCACATTCTTCATAAGATGAACAGCTCATCAAAAATTTGTCATCAGTGAAGAGAAGAGGACTCAAACATCTGCGTAATTCTCTGACATGGAAAAAAGTTATAATATGCTAGCTTTTAAGTCTACAAAAAAATCACATGCCCAAAATGGACGGAATGTCTGGGGAGGCTTTCAGGTGGCAATTTTTTTTCTTTGAACTGGCAGGTGGCAATCTGCAAATCAACCATTTCTGAAGGATTATTAGGATAATTCCTCTGTGTACTTCATCATGAATTGCTTAGCTTGCGTTTCTCTAGTTTCTTCCCGTGGTGTTCACACTGCTTTTCTGACCGATATTTACGTATGAACTCAATCTTAGTCATGTTTGCTTTAAGAATTTTACAATGCTTACATTGACTTGGACCTGAAATGTGTAGTGAAGAACTGCAAGTCTGAGACTGGTGGGAAGTAACGCCATCACTATTTCGAGACACCTTAGGGATGGGAGCGTGAGTCAATGCAAATATTTCTAGCACTGTTCTCTATTTGTCACCTTAATTTGGGGAGGTCAAACACGAAAAGTTGGTCCAAGCAAATATGAATGCTTCTCAGTCAGATTTCGCAAAGGAATCAGTCAAATTTAAAACCATTTTTGTTAACAAAACAACCTGTAAGCCCCCATCTAAAGCTGCTTAACTTACATGGACAAATAAAATATTTGAACAGACATGTCCCCATTGGGCAATCTGATGCTCAGATGTGCACATTTCAGATCAGGACACTGTGTGCAGGAGTGATCAACTGGTATTAAGTCCTTGCAATGTCCTCTCACTACTATTAAGCATCCAATTCTATACAAGACTCACTTGATAAGTTAGTATTGATTCAAGGGTTGACATTTTTTTGGTGTGGAGGGAGGGGGGGGGGAATTAAATTGCTCTCTTTGGCACAGGCATTGGAGAGCATTGCCTTATTAGCTGTTTATGGGCCAAATGAATAACAAAATTCACGGTAACACAGCACTGACAGCCGTGGACCTGAGGAAATTCATATCTAATATGTTTCAATTGCCTGCATAAAAAGCCTTACATTAAATTTTACAGAAATTAGAACTCAATACTATTTGGGCTTGTATTATATAACATAATGGGTTTGGGTCTGGTGGTATGGCATCAATGAAATTTGTAGGCCTGATGTGATACATTTCTGGTGTTTGCACATAAAGCCATAAAGTATTTTTTACAGAAATTAGAACAGTAATATTTGGGCTTGTACTATAAAACAAAACGAGTTTGGGTCAGTATAAAACTTTTGTGCATACTACTCTTTTGTATACTTTCAAATACAACACAATTGACTATCTTCCCGATGAATTCACTTGCATAAGTATGTGGGTCAGACATAGCTACAGACAGAACTGGATCTTCAAGGATGGAAACCCTCTTAAGAGTATCACCAGAGTGTAATTGCAAACCAAAGAACAATAATGAACTGGGAAGGAACATAAAGGAAGACCAAATTAATTCAGATTTGGAAAAGAAAAAAAATCTCTTTCAGTCTAGTTTCAAGAATACTGGCGAATTAGTCATATGCGTAAGTGAATTGAACTAAGGATGCAGAAAATAAGAGTAAGAAGAAGGGTAAGTATGAAATTTCATGCATGGGATACTTTGGAGATGTTTAATGAGGTTTATATTCGAACTGGAGTCACAAGTGATGTTAGATATAGAATAACATATTGCAGGATTTTCGTTTTTCTTATTCTGTTGAATTTTAAGGGCTAACACATTTTAAATAATTGTTGAACATGGGTATTGACCATAGTCCATAGGTCATTATTTTACTGAGGTTAAGTCATGTGGGTTTTAAAATAAGAGTACTTAATTTGTCTACAACAGTCTAAATAGACCGTGCAAGTCCCTAATTTAAGTCATAACCCTAATAGATTCATGAGAACCCAACGGCCTATAAATATCTATTTAGCCTTTTTATGCATTAGACTATTTCATTATGGTTTGGCAAAGGTGAAGCACACCTCTTCTTCTCCTTTCTCTAAAATTATGCACTTTTATGGTTTATGGTTTACTAAGTTGTGATTGATCTTATTAAGCATTGGTTCACCTCTGTTGGTCTTACATTAAAATGCCCAAAATTCCCTCCATCAGGACTTAACCATTACAACCACCGAGAACTCTTTTCCCTAGACTACTAACAATTGCATAATCCCCTCCCCTTATAGCACCATATCAAACCCTAAGATCCTACACTTTGGACAACCTTTTTTAGCAAAACAGCGCACCTTCAACAACCTCCTAAAAGAATCTTACTTCTGCTGCCTATCCTTGATTTTGGTATCAAAACTACTAGGTGAGTTCTTCCCAGACTTGTCCTATATCGAGCGTCCAGTAAAAGGAATTTTCTCTGCAAGATAGATAAATAGACCGCCAAAAAATCAACGGCATTGGTAAACTAAAACTCTTCACTTTATGTCCAGCGGAACTGCAAGGATTTTTCTCAACTATTAAAATACATAATTAGTCTTAATTTAGTCATAAAAAGACCTTATTGTAAGCAAACAATCATGTCCTTTCGAAAGGTCTAGTATGAGAACACTGAAAACATTTAATATTTTCTGAATGAATTAGAAGAGTAATAAGAACAAACCTGCTTCTTCTCATTGGTAATGAAAACAACAAATAGATCAGATCCCTCCATATCTGCTGCCCCACCTGCGCATAGTTTCTTGCAAAGCAAGTACACATTCTCCTCACTACAAAAGAAAAAAAAATAAGAAAAATTTTGTCAGTGTGCAGCTGACATCGAATATTGTTAAAGGATAAATGTATAAATAACTCAGTCAAACTAAACACAAAGACTCCGACTTATTTCTGTAGCAGCAATCCTGATCCCTTCCTGCATTTAGAAAATTCATTTTCATTGGCCGCAATGACTAACCATTAGAAAATATAAGGGTACAGGTTAGTGAAAACGTACATAAAAATTTAAAAAAAAACTCTCATTTCTTATCTTTGATCAGCATATCAGTGATGTTTTCATAATCATTGTCTAGGGATTGCTATTCAAGCACATCTTTTATGGCCAAAAGAGGAAGGTTCAATGTTTTACAACATAATACAAATATTATGTCGGAGTACTATCTACAATAGTACTAAGATAGCAGTAACTTCTTATCTATAAATTAATAAAGGGAGAGGAGGGGTTTGGTGTCCTCTCCCTTTATTAGCAGTATTAATATAAATCAATGTAACATCCATTAAAACTTCCCACTTCTCCATGTCTCTCATCCTTAACCGCCTCTCTCTCTCATTCATGACCAACACTTCCTTAGCCATCTCTCCCTCTCATTCATTAGCAACACTTCCTTAACCATTTCTCTCTCTCATCCATGGCCAACACTTCCTTCAAAATACATTACAAACGCATTAATTTGTAGAAACATCGCGTGTGCCATGAAATCTAGTAGGATTCAATATTGGCCAGTCTTTTGTGCCCCCTAATATTAATTAAATATGATATATCACTACAGAATGCCTTGACAGCTGGAATTATACGAGGAAGAAAGTAGATGTATACTACTACTTTATGACTTCACTGTTTGATGGCGTATAACCATTGATGCTCTAGACCCTCGTAGTCAATCCATGGTAGGAGTTGTGGCCTTTAAACCCTAACAATGGTGTGATTGATCTCCATACTCCAACTGTATCCAAACCAATAGACGATATTGTCCTTACGTAACTCCAGTGCATAATACTGGACCCTTGTTAACAAAAGGGTGAAAAAAAATTGGTGTGTGTGTGTATGTGAACAGCCAGACATCTTAAAAGGAAAGAAATATAGGAAATAAACAAAATTCCAGCACAACAAAGCATTTCCAACATTTAGATCACCAAATGAAAAATAATAACAATAACAGTAGTAGTAGCAATAATAGTAGTAGTAGTAGTAGTAATAATAATAATAATAATAAACATTCAACGAATAGAAATCAATGAGGAAGAAGACTTGGATTATACCCACCAAACCCTACTCCAATTATCCATTTACTCCACACATGGTTATTTTTACATGACTAATTGAAAGCAGTCACAGGAAGCGTGCAAAGGCATAAATCACTTGTGAAAGAAGTCCAATAATCCCATATTTCAACCATCAAGGTCGAATTCAAGTGCATTGTTGTTTGTGGAAAATATGAGCGGAAATCCTAAATTTATGATACACTTAAATATGCTCTTAGTGCATAAAATGAATGTAGGTCAAATTATGGTTATCACCCAAACAATCACAAATGTCAGAAAATCTGAACTCCCCGACTTTTAGATGCAAGGGTGTGGAAATATGCATCTAAGTTTGCTGGGTTTTCAAATTAAAAACGTATGATATAAACAAATATGGGTGTTTATATGTGGACAGATGATGCAACCCATGCTACTTTCTTAAAATAAGAGAGAAGGGAGAGAATGAAAGAAGAAAAGAGAAAAAGTAAGGTAAAGTAAAAAGTTTTCGATCTATAGGTGTGTTTTTGTTTATCCAAGATGGTCTAGTCATAGGATTTATTAAACATCATACAAAGCTGTAAATCTATGACGTCAGTCCTATCCAAAATATGATAACCCGTTATGGTGAATCTCTTTGAATGAGATATCAAAGGGAAGACATGTCCTAATGCCAGCCAACAAATTAAAACTATTATTTTCCATGCTGAATTCACACTGGACTATATTAGATCAGTTGCATTATATGATCGAATGGAAAACAACAATGGAGAAGCTAAAAAATTTATTTCATCAAGAAGAACATAATGAGTTTTTCTTCCAATCAATTTCCAAAACAAAGAAAGTAAAAGGAAGTCCCTTTTAGTGGGCTACAAATGGAAAAAAATGAATGCAAGGTTTGGTCTTTGACATTCCAACTATTGTATACAGAAATATGAGATATCACAATTAGCATTTGCAAATCTTGCATCATATCTTGGGAAGGATCTGAACTCCAAATCAGCAACCACTAAAGCATGATAACTTCGTTGAAACCCATTTCATATACATATACTGAAAAAAGCAAGGAACTATATGACTAACTCTAAAACCTATTCACAAAGTAGGCATTCAAATGATCACATGCCAGAACATGCACGTGCAGACACCTATACGATTATACATAGCATTTACTTTTTGGGGAGAAGGCTTAAGAAGTCTTTAAATGTATTCCGATCACATACCATCATTTGGCGTAACCATTCTTTCACTAACCATCAACCAGTCATTTAAAATTTACTAAAACAGTAACAGTGTATCAACCTAAATTTCCAAAATTATCAAATCTACTTATCCAAATAGTGGGATGAGAGAAAAGTGAAAGGAATGAGGAGTGGGAGAAGAAGGGGTCGAACCCATCTCCTACTTCATAACTTGACCCCACATTGTGGTCTAATGGTGAAGAAACAGTCAACGTGAAACCCCACGGATTTGCCTAGAAACACTACATCATTGTATACAATCCAGGTGATGCATTCACTTATTCACTTAATGGCAATTGGAAAATGAGCTCAACCACGCAAAATCCAAGAAATCAATGACGATAAAAAATAAATAATGTTCTAAGTAAGTGTGCATCACGTAATGAACTCAGCTTGACACATGCCCATCAGAATTGGGCATACAGTAGATCAATAGTATACTAGAACTTGACATTTGAACAAAAAAGGTATCTGCATATTAGCATATACTTACAAATCGATGCCCACAATACACACACATGTATCAGCATGAGATTTTCTAGTAATCTCACGAAATATAGTTCAAAGGGAGAGAAAGTTTTAGAGAGAGAGAGAAAGAGGGGAAGTACCAGTAATTAGGGGTGTGATGGAACTGAGAAACGTCCAAAGGAGTAGCGACTGATGATGATAAGGGTAACTCCAAAGTCGGAGTTGTCATTTAGTAGGTTGCTTCTGCTTGGGATGTTGAGAGACAGAGATTCACCGTTCAATGGCAGAGCCGCAGAGGACGAATCTTTACATAACTATAGCGGCCGTTGAAATGTCCTCACTTCTAAACGCCCTCGTATTAATTATAAGAGTAAACTACACATTAACCCCAAACTATGACCTTTATATTAATTAAGCCCTTGATATATTTTTATATCAATCGAACCCCTGAACTCTCTAATTATGTCAATTGAGTCTTTCTGTCTGTCTCCGTTAGAGTGTACCACTCACGTGACCATATGACACAAAAAATATAAAATGATTCAATTGATACAATTAGAGAATTCAGAAACTTAATTGACATATGTATCATAATTTAGTTTCTTTCAACTCATTTGTGCCACATGAATGACACACTTTGCATTTTTTGTTAGAAAATCTAACAGAGGCCATCAAAAGGGTTGAATTGATATAATTAAAAATTTTAAATACTCAATTAATACAAAAAGTATAAAAATTTAATTGACACAATTGTCATAGTTTGAGAATAATATGTGATGGGTCAAGTTCAAATGACTCAATCTATGTGGAAAGTCCAAATCTCAATTGAGAAGTCCAACCTCATTAAAGATCCATCAAGTCCAACATAGTCTAAGACCAATCAAACTTTCTGCTTAGCCACGTCATCAAGAGGGAGAGCGTGAGGGCCTTACCTGCACTGCAGAAGGAAACGGTCCACCCTCACCTTATCTTTGACTGCATCTCATGGAGAGCTCCTCAACCACCTCGCCCGTTGAGCAAAAGTCGTGAGCTCCACCGAAATGGTTGCTAAAAAATAGCCTCAACCTGTTAGGGGACTACTATAAATTACACGCCCCACCAACACTTGGGGGCATCACACTTTACTTGAGCACGACTATCTCCTCTCCCAAAAAACTTGTACTCTCTGCTTGCCACACCCCTGAGTTAATAAAGTACCCGGCGACCAGAGTCATTCAAGAATGGACGTAGGTCGAGTTGACCGAACCATTATAAATTGTTTATGTCTCTCCATCTCCTTATATTATTTATTGCATTTATTATTCACACTTGACAGGTGGTGTGCAAAACCATTTTGTGCATCATCAATTTGGTGCCGTCTGTGGGAAAGAGACAAAATTCTCACTCTTAAACATTCCATTTGCTGAACCAATGACGATCACTACCAGATCCATGAACCAACACAAAAACAATCTACCACGAGAGGAAGAGGTTGCTCCTCTACCTACCAACCCTGTCCCAAATGCTCCAGCTCCAAATCCACAACAAATGCTTGAGACCATGCAGCAACTGGTGACCCAAAACCAGCAGATACTGCAACTCATGCTCGCTGGACGAAGAGGAGCACAACTTGGAGGTGCACAACATGGAGGACCCCAAGGAGCTCCATGCCCTGGACATTAAGGAGCTCCACACCCTGCTGCACCACACCTGGGCGCCCCCCCTGGAGTCCCCTTGGGCGCCCCACACAGGGGAGCCCATCATGAAGGAGTTCCACCTCCTCCACCTCCTCCTGTTTCCCATGATGAGGATCCTTATCTTCAGGAGGATGAGAGCGAGAACCAAAGCATGGAGCACGAGAGTTATTTCCATGATCACTCCAGGGGACCCCCCAACCATTGAGATGAGAAGATCAAGGAAGTGCAAAATTAATTGGGTGACGTCTTCAATACCATGAAGGCGCAGGGACCCGAGACGGTAAACTACCTGGTAAGGCGTACAGACACGCCTTCAAGCCTGATGTGGCGAATTATCCCCTCCCTCAAAAGTTCAAAATGTCATCCGTGGAGACCTTTGACAAAACAAAAAATCCACTAAACCACCTCGACACCTACAAGACTCTGATGCAGCTGCACAACGTCCCAAACGAAAATCATGTGCAGGGTGTTCCTAACCACATTGAAGGGGTTCGCACAACAATGGTTCGCTAAGCTCCCCCCAACCTCCATCGCCTCCTTTGCTGAACTAAGTAGGTCATTCGTATAGCATTTCATTGGGGGGCATCGCCACCAGAAGCCTGTCACCCATCTGCTTAGCATAAAGCAGGACCGAGAGGAGAGCCTGAGGAGCTACCTCACTTGTTTTAACGAGGAGGTACTCCAAGTTGATGAGCCCGATGACAAAGTGACGATGACCGCCTTCTTGGGAGGCCTCCGCTCGTCAAGCTTCCTCTTCTCAATGATGAAGCGTCCACCAAAGAGCATGCCAAAATTGCTAGCAAAGACCCAGAAATACATGAATCCTGAGGACATCACAAGTGCCAGCACGAGGTGAGTTTTCCAGAGCAGTAGGGGAAATGAGGAAGGAAAAGGAGAGAGAAGACAAGAAGGAGACTAACAACAAACGCAACAGAACAGAGAGGGTTCTTGTCAAAGCCCGGCTAGGTCTTGCTCCTCAGAGGGACCAACAAGCCTTTACTCCCCTCAATGCCTCTATCGGACACATCCTATTCTAGATCCAGGATGACCCCGCCATAAAGTGGCCAGGGAAGATGGAGTCTCCTCCAAATCACAGAAATCCTAACAAGTACTGTAATTTTCACCGCGATCACGGGCATGACACCGACGATTGCTATGAGCTCAAAAGACAAATTGAGAAACTTATTCATCGTGGCCACCTATGCCAGTATGTTGCTGGCAGAGAACGAGCACCACCACCTCACAATTAAGAAGACCAGCAGCCCGTGGCAGAGATCCACACCATCTCGGGAGGACTAGTAGAAAGTGGAGACTCACTTTCTGCAAAAAAGCTCACGCTAGAAAGGCAAGGCACCACGACGAGATGCGCCCATCCAAAGTGCCAAAAGGACGACAACGATGTTATATCTTTCTCAAATAAGGACCTAGAGGGAATCCAGTACCGCCATGACGACCCCCTGGTGCTCACCATAACCGTGGCCAATTTTCAAGTGCGCAGGATTCTAGTGGATAGCGGCAGCTTTGCGGATATCCTATTCGCAGAGGCTTATAACAAGTTCAAACTGAGCAGGGAGAGACTGCAGCCTATCATATCACCCCTCATTGGGTTCTCAGGGGAAAAGGTATATCCCTTAGGGTCCATCACCCTACCTGTCACAGCTGGAACAACGCCTTGGAGCTCCACAGTCATGGTCAATTTCTTGGTCATAGACTGTTCATCAACCTATAATATCATACTGGGGTGACTTGCTCTTAACACATTAAGAGTTGTGCCCTCCACCTATCACCTTATCCTCCACTTTCCAACCATGAATGGAGTCAGAGAGGTCAGAGGAGACCAGGTAGCAGCGAGGGAGTGCTATGTCTTCTCTATGAAAACCATGAAGCCACATGAAACATTGCAAGTTGAGGTCCTTGATCTGAGGGATAACGCCACCATAGAGAGAGGAGAACCAGTCGAGGAACTCACCTCTATGGCCTTGGATGAGGAGTACCCAGACAGAAGAGTATACATCTACTCTTCCCTTTCTAAAGACCTGGTTGGCCCACTAATAGACTTTTTGAGATGTAACATGAACGTCTTTCTGTGGTCACATGCAGACCTTAAGGGAATTGACCTAGAAGTGGCCACACACCGTCTTAATGTAGACCCACGCCACAAGCCTGTTCACTAAAAGCTAAGGGGCACCTTCACTGAAAGGGCCCAAGCTATGGACAAGGAGGTAGGAAAGATAATAGATAACGGGGGCCGTCAGAGAAGTAACATATCCTGAGTGGCTCTCCAACGTAGTGATGGTCACTAAAACTAATGGAAAGTGGCGTCACTGTGTCGACTTCACAGAACTCAACAAGACGTGCCCGAAATATAACTACCTGCTGCCACGGATCGACCTCCTCATTGACGCCACCGCAGGGCATAAGTTGCTCACTTTCCTGGATGCTTATCCTGGGGTACAACTAGATTAGCATGTACCCCCTAGACCAAGAGAAAATATCATTCATCACTCCGAAGGGAACCTATTACTACAGGGTCATGCCCTTCGGACTAAAGAACGCAGGAGCAACCTACTAACGGTTGGTGAATAAGATGTTCCAGTCTCAGATCGGACGAACGATGGAGGTGTACGTGGATGACATGCTGGTGAAAAGTCTTGGAGGAGTAGACCACATTGATTACCTCCAAGAAATTTTCAATGTTCTAAGGTCCTATCACATGAAGCTCAATCCTGAGAAGTGCGTCTTCGGCGTGGGGTTTGGAAAATTCTTGGGCTTTATGGTCAATCAGGGGGGAATTGAGGTGAACCCCCGATAAAATCAAGGTCATCCTCGACATGAAGGCACCTTCCTCGACCAAGAAGCTCCAACGCCTCCATGGAAGAATCGCTGCACTCAATAGGTTCATTTTCAAATTTGCAGACAAATGTCTACCCTTCTTCAAGATTCTCTGAAAGGCCTTTGAGTGGGAACCTGAGGCGGAGGAGGCCTTCCAAAGGCTCAAGGTCTACCTAGCTACACCTCCCCTCCTATCACATGTCACTTTGGGAAAAACTCTCCATCTTTATCTTTCTACTTCCTCATCAGCAGTAAACTCAGTACTTATCAGAAATGATAATGGAGTACAGAAGCCAATTTATTACGTGAGTAGAGCATACCGGGGGGTAGAGATCAGATATTCAGGATTAGAAAAATTGGCGCTCGCCCTGATCACGACGGTAAGACGACTACGACACTACTTTCAGAGTCAAGAATCTTTAGAAAGCCAGACATATCCGGCAGACTTCTTAAATGGGCAGTGGAACTCAGGGAGTTCGACATTCAGTATCAATTAAGGGCAGCCATCAAAGCACAAACCCTGGTAGACTTCATTGTTGAGCTCACACCAACTAAAGAAGGGAACTGCAGGGATGCTAAAATGCCTAATGGGGACACCTAGAAGCCTAGTAAGGACTCTCAGACGCCCAAGCTGGGCGTCTAGGTCAATTATGGTGCCCAGGTCTCTTTCCCAGGTGCCCAGACTTCATCTCCAAGGCCTAAGCCCCAACTAGAGCCCAGA